CTCTAAATAGGTTTTAAGCAGAGCAGAATCAAGCACATGAAAACATCCCCCTAAAGATATAAGCATACAATAAAAATAGGATCCTAACTGGAGAGAGCCATTTCGCTGGTGCCTCACCTACGCGTCATTTTTATTATTTTACTCGTTGCTCTGTCTACCCTGGCTCTGATTTCTGTTTTGTCCAAGTGATTTTTTTTTTTTCAAGCTACTTTTTTTATCTTTTTTTTTTTTAATTCTTTATTTTTGATCACTCGGCATGTTATAAAGAAATACATGGAGTGGGCTGCTGCCCTCTGAGTTCGCGATCAGTCGTACATACATAGTTAACAGTTTGTTCACATCAGCATGCAGAGCGATTGTTTTTTTGTTTTTTTTTTGAGAAAGTTAGTCAACATATATAATACTATAAAGTTAGCCCCACTGAGCACATTAGAAGGTACATATTTCAACAGTGTTTCACATAAGCTGGGGTGTGGGGGTGACCCCCTCTGGGGTTTATATCAATAAGTTGTCTCAGCTCTATTGAAGGTTGTGAGGAAGGGTGGGGGGGGGGGGAATTTTCCTGACTTTCTTTCTACATTCTCTACTATTAAAACCTAATACTGGAATGTATACCGATATCACTATAAATAAACAGTTGAACAGCAATGATCAAGTTAAAGAACAATGGTTTCCAAGATGGTCTCATGGACCTCCAGGAATTTATCTTGCTGATGTATAAAATGGCAGAGGTTTGGCCAATTCCTATATCCTGGATCAATAACGGTGTTTAAAGGAATACTCCAAGCCACCATAAACAGCACACCATAGTGATCATGGTGCCAGGAGTACCCTGGTACCCTTCCAAGATAAATCTTTTTGTAAATAGTTTGACATCATACCTGGGTATCTGCCAGTACCCCAGGTACTTACCCTGTGAGGGTGTCAGGGCACTCCTGCTCCTACGGTGCTTGGAGAGTTCCTTTATGAATAGTGTTAGAAAACACCTAAATTTTGTAAAATTACATCATCTATGCTGCTGGTATGTACTGGTTCATGGGAAATTGCAGTCATTGCTATCATTTTGCAGTCATTACGGTCCTTTTCTGGTGTTGAAAACTGAGCGTTTTGTTCTGACTTTGAACTAATTTGCAGCTAGAATGCTTGGGGAAAATGCTTTAAGGTTGCATGTTCATTTTGGAAGTGTTTGTTTCATGTGATGTCAGAGGGTCATGGTTCATCTAGAGTAGAAAAACAAGTAGGGCTCATGCTCAAACAGACTGCCTAAAAATACAACCCCCTCCACTTTCTCAATGGAATGTTTTGAAAGACTCAGATAACATTCTTAAATTCGCCTGTATTCCATAAAAGACGTATTGTTTGCTGCCAACCAAGAAATATATTCATTCAAGAAAAAGAGAATATTCGGTTTGTGTCGCTAAAAAGTAACATGTAAAAGTGGGGATTCAAAGCTTAAAGTTTTTTATTTTAAAAGATTTATTTAAACATTAAAAATATATATATTATAGATACATAGTGTAAATATCTGAAAAACAAAATAGGTCAGCAGATAAGATATTTCAGCCTATTGCTCTTTTATTTTCCGTTTATCCTATATTTTAATAGAATAGCTATACTGCTGTCAACACAAAGTGTTGACGTGTTTTTGATGTCTTCAGAAGCTGCCCCTGTAATCCAATATGGGGAGAAAAGTTATATAGTAAGCGAAACAAGAGATACAATAAAATATACTATACTATATAAAGCTAGTAATTCAAAATGAAAAACATTCTTTTTGTTCTGATGTTTTATCCTGCTGTTGGAAATAACTGTGTGCATGTTTGTAAAACAAATCTGCTGTAGCTGAGTACACCATCAGGTTCCTACATGCTTACCTGCCATCCCAAGGTCTGTTAGCAATCATCACCGCTGCTTCATGCCATGCGTATGCAATACTGATACTGCAGGCTTACTCAGTGACACAGGCAAAGGTGTTGAATTTCACCTCAAAGACTGTAGTGGTGTTCGGGTAATTTCAGCCATGTTGTCTGAGTTATATAGAGGGCTCCCATTTGGGGCTGAAAATATAGGCCAGGTTTATATATTCCCTAGGTGGACTCTGGACAGCTGTAAGACTCCATGTTGCATTCATGTTTGGTCTTCAATACTCCCACTTCTGCTTACTAGCTACCTGTTTTATTCTCTAGACCAGGGTAAGGAACTTTTTGAACTCCAGATATTGTGGACATCTCACATGACACTCTTACAGCCATAATGCTGTCAAAGCATCAGGGGAAATGTAGTCCAGAACATATGTAGTGTTAGTAGCTTGCCTACCCCTCCTTTAGACTGTACTGACCAGCTGCATTGACCTTAAGACCAGATTCCAGTATATGTGTTAACTTGGGTAGCCACATTTTCTCTTCTTCCTGAAGCCGTTCTAAGCTTGATCTCTTTACCTCCATTCTTTCTCCACTCCTGGCTACGTCTGGTAATATGCAGGAGTGTGTGCATGCAGTGGCGTACAGATAGGGGTCACAGCTGCGACCAGGTCCGTCACTCCCGGAAGTGACTGCCCCGGTCACTCCTGCCAGCTATCAGTGAGCCACACGGGAGGAAGAGAGGAGGGAGTCAGAGTGGGAACTCTGACTCCCAATAACCTGAGTCACCACTGGACCCTAAGGGAAAGTCACCCTCCTGCACTTAAAAGGTAGGACACAGGAGGGTAACTTAAACATTTTGTATATGTGTGTTTGTATGTATATGTGTATGTGTTTATGTGTCTGTCTATATGTATGTGTGCCTGTCTGTTTGTATGTATGTATGTGTCTTTGTATGTATGTGTGTCGTGAGTAACTGTCTGTATGTGTGTATGTGTCTGTCTGTATATCTGCCTGTATGCATGTGTCTGTATGTATGTATGTGTCTTGTGTGTGTGTGTCTGTCTGTATGTGTCTGTCTGTTTGTGTCTATGTGTGTGTGTCTGTGTGTATGAATGTGTGTCTGTATGTATGTGTGTGTGTCTGTCGGGGGGGTGGAGTGAGAGAGGGGGGAAGAGGGAAGGGGGAAGAGGGAAGATGGAGGGGGGGAAAAGGGAGGGAGGTGGGGGGCCCTATGGATTGTGTGTATGCCACTGTGTGCATCCCAGTCCCTGGTTTCTAAGATATTCCAGCACATGGACACTAGCCCTGATCCTTTTATAATCAATGCTTATTGTAGTATTTTAAAAGAGGCTAAGATACATATTTTTTAGATCCAGACCATATCTAAATCCATTCATTAGGCTATAGTCTTTCACGTTCATGGACACAAAAACGTTTCACTTAATCTTTCAGAATGATCAATATCTAAATCCACTCCTTAATTTAATTACCTCATGTATAGCTGTAATTTTTATATGACAGGTAATATATCATGTTTCTTAAAAGAACATGAGGCTAATAATCACTCTAATCGTAAGTTTCTGTGTAGTCTCTTCCACAAATGATGACAGAGATACACTAGACATCTGATTACCTGGACAGCAGGTGCCTACTCTTCTCAAATATAGTGTCTGGGAAGGCGGGGGTGCTGTAATCCCTCGGCACTAAATGCTGAGACATCACTCAACAGTGCGTGAGGGAGTAGAGCAAGAAAACCATGAAGATGACAGCACTCACACTAGACCCCAGGGAAAGAATACAGTCCAGCTCTTCCAAAGGTAGGTGGGCTGGGTGGACTTAAATAAAATAATAAAAACACAAACATCCTGTGTATGCTCCATGGTCCCAGAGGTGATGCTGCAAAGAAAGGGGCAGAGTACAACATCCTCTGCCCCTTTGCAGCATCATTTCTGAAGACCCACTCTTGGTATCCTGTGTATATACCTCTGGGACCGTGGAGCTTGAGGAGACACCAACTATCCTGAGTGTCAAACAGTGTGAACTCCAGGGAGACAACTTGAAGGAATTGGACAACCTCTAAGTGTCCACAGGCGTTTACCATTTGAGTCATATGAGATCTACGGCTCTCGACTTGTGAGTGATACTCCTTATGTTTATATATCAGATTTAACCTGTTTCAACAATATTGCACCATTGTTTTGTATTTTTATTATTCACAGATTTATACTGAAACAAAACCCATTTTAGGAGCTCCACCTTATGTATGTATCTGGTTTATATTTTGTAGAAGTGGTTTAGGGGATACCACTAAAGGTGTTTAGAGCTTTTTAACACTATTTACCTCCTCCATATTGTGCACTAATTTGTTGAGCAAGATTTATTAAGTGACAGTAGTAGGATCGGTTGCTGTAAGGAGTCTCTCAGTGCTGGAACAAAATTAATTTTTATTTTATTTTTTTAAAGGAGACGGGCGATAATTTTAATTCACATGTCACATAGTTTACAAACATTCTCTTTTGTTTGTTTTTTTATCAGTGTTCCTTTAATGAATCATCCTGATACTGCATTGTGCCTGAATCTCTGAGATTTGGGATTAGTAGTTTATGAAAACAATTTGCAGGGCGCCCTCTAGTGTTCCATTCTGGAACCAGATGGCTGCCATCATTACTATAGAAATGACGTTTTCCGCCAGGAGGCGGAGCCTTACGAATGGTAAATGTCACCACGCCCCATTTTTACCAGATTCCGACTCAGACGACAACAAGCGGTGCCCTCTATTGGCGATGACGTGTTAACCTAACCTACGGACTACATTTCCCATCTCGTGCTGCCGACATTCCAGCTGCACGGGCACCACGGGAAATGTAGTTTAAACCAGCTATAGCGATCATGCTATTCCAAGCGAGGCCCGCAGTAAAGATGGCCGTTAGTGTTTATCCGCCGACGTGACGTAGTAACTGTTTCCGGTGGGCGGGCCCAGGCTGTGTATAAATACTCCCGCGCTGCAGTTTCCCTTTCTCTTCGAGTCTTCCTAGCGCGCCATTGACACGCTCCGTGGCTCTGCCTGACTCACCGCTGTTCGCTCGGCACCTGCTCTGCTCCGTCGGACGAATAAGTCGGTCAGGGAGTTGATCAGCCATGGTACGTGCTCCTGCCTGGCCGCCGTTATCAGCCCTCCTCTCCCGGCCCAGCCTGGCACTCAGCCTAGCTCTCCGGGCCGGCAGGCCGCCCCCATGCTGTGATAGTGACATGGAGCACATGGGATCTCCCAATGTCCACACTGGCTGCCTGATCACATGGCTTTACATGGAGTCCAGTCACTACAAGACAGGTGATGCCAGGCTGCCATCCACTAACTGTGAATAAACCCCATTCTATAAGGAATTATATCCCTACAAAGAGCCCATGAACCTTCCTGCACACCGGGCTTGATTTAATACTTGGCCTATCTTACTTAAAGGGAACTAGTGGAGAATTTAAATCCTGCCACTTCCCATGTAATAGTGATGGAACCAGTTTTGTGATTGTCTTTACTTTTTTATATATGAAATGCATGGATAATACTGTCTGGGTATGTCCTGAATAAACCCTTGAAGATAGAGTAACTTGCTTCTGTAACCTAGAAACAGCTTAAGTCTTGCTTAAACATGTCTTGTTCTGTAGCTAGACTTGGGCTAAAAGATAACTAGATGTTCAAGGATTTCATTGGATGACTTGATTCAAAGACCCACTGTACTTAGAGTGTTTTTTAGTTTGGTTGGTTGTTTCTTTGTTTAACTGTCTTTCTTTCCAAATAGGCATTTAAAGATGCAGGAAAAGCCCCCGTTGAACAGGAAGTAGCTATACATCGTATCAGAATCACACTCACAAGTCGCAATGTGAAATCATTAGAAAAAGGTATGTTATGATTACTTGAATAACTTAACTCTGTTAAAAGGGCATCTTAACAGATGCACTCCTTTGTAGTGGACAATGTTGCCAGGGGAAACCTAGTGTCATTCCATAGTAGTAAAAGGAGCCAAATGATTTGACCTTAACATGGGTCCCCAAGCACCTTCAGTTTAGCCTATGTTTGTGATCTCCTCAATATGCAAGCCCATACTTCACAATGGTGACCTTGGTTTCAATGGAATTTGTTTGAGAATCAGCTGACTCCAATAAACCCAATACAAATATTGGTATCCATCATGAAAGCTTTAACTTATAGCAGAATTGTAGCCTAGACAAAAGGGATCCCTGTAAATGTCAGTACACAAACTTTGGATGCTTACTGTGGGACAGCAGTTGGTGTAGCATATCCCTGGAACTACTACGGCTATATTTGTCATGGTGCCTAGACTGCTCCTGTAAGTGAATTCTTTTCACCAATCAGTATATGGTTCCACTATACTGTAATTAAAACTTTATCTCCATAAAGTTGTAGTAATTGTGCTGTTATCAATGGAATTGTAAAATAAACCATGCATTTTAGTTGGCAATGAGGATGACTTTTCTATAATGATTTAAAGTGATTGACTTATACGCTATTCTGAGCTGACTTAAAATGCATTTTGCTTAGGTACTTGGTAAATATGCTTTTGTTTGCTATGTACTAATGCACAGCTCTACTTTCCAGTGTGTGCTGACTTGATCCGTGGAGCCAAGGAGAAGAACCTGAAAGTAAAAGGACCCGTGCGCATGCCCACTAAGGTAATGGAACCATAACAATTGCAGTTCTAGATCTCAAAATATTCCACACATGGGTACAGGAAAAGTATAAAAATTCTCATATTGGAACAGTAGGTGAAGAGGGCCTGCCTAAACAATTTAATTTTCATTGCAATTCTATGTAAAAAAAAAACAAGCCAATGTTTTTTATTAATTTATTTTAAGGGTGTGAGCATTATTGCCAACGTGAATTATACATTAAAATGTTAAAGTTGAGTAATCATTTAAACTGCCATCTTGGTGTCCAACAAGACACAATATATGATGTGTTTAACGACTAGTTTTTATTGGCATTATATAGAATCAACTTATTCTGCAGCACTTTACAATATTATAAAGCAAGAACATTGGTCTGAGGACCCTCTCAAACGAGCTTGCAATCTAGATCAAGTGGGACAGAAAGAATGACAACCAGTTTTATGAATTTTTTTAATTTTTTTTTTTTTTGTAAAATTATTTTAAGACTTGTGTTCAGTTCTCAGTATTCCTTGCATTTTGTTTTTAGACTCTGCGCATCACTACAAGAAAAACACCCTGTGGTGAAGGATCCAAGACATGGGATCGGTTCCAGATGCGGATCCACAAGCGTCTAATTGACCTGCATAGTCCTTCTGAGATTGTGAAGCAGATCACTTCCATCAGCATTGAACCTGGTGTAGAAGTTGAAGTGACTATTGCTGATGCTTAAATACAGCTATTCCTGTTAAATAAAGAACAAGAACTACAAATTGACTTGTGTAGTTTGTCGATGTTATTTATATAGTCTGTTTTCCCCTGCACTAATGTTAAATATCTGTATTTAAAACACTTTTGTTTACTAAATACAAAGCCAGTTTAGCGCTAAACTAAAAGTTTATATCTAGTGACCTGTAATAGTCTCAGTAACTATTTGCCTAAACATAATGTCTTTATGGGGAAACTAGGAAACTAGTTTTCCTGGTGCCAACTTCCCCTTCATCAAGGCCCCCAATTTGCAGAAGAGGTTAAACTGGTGCATAAGTGACAATGTGCCTCTGCGCTGGCTCAGGTATGCAATCTTTCCTCTGGACATCGGTGAGACCTAATGCGTATCACATCAGATTTCCCCAGGTATGGGGTAGGGATGCTTTTTAATTAACCAAATACTGTCTTTACATTTCTGGATCCCTGGTGGTCCCAGTGGGAGGAGTGAACTCTATCCCATAGCTCCAGGGCTACTCACACTCGTGAGATTTGGAGCGTTGCTGTGGTAACCACAGCAAAGCTCCATGCTCGCGAGAGAAGGACCCGGAGGGGCTGCAGGTAAGAGCTCCCGTGTCCTCTCCCTCCCCATGCCAGCTGTCAGCAATGTGCCTGTGGACCAGGGAGAACTCTGATCTCACTACCTGTTCCGCAGGCACACTGCAATGCTGGCACTTGGACAATGTCAGCCCTGCATTATTTTACTCCTGTCTCCTAAATGGTGCACACATGCCTGGCTTACCAGAGCCGAACAGACACTGCCTATCTGGAGTCTTTAGTGTAAACTGAGTGGTGATTGCAGATGAAGGCCAATCCTTAATTGACACATTGCAGCACTATTGCAGATCACTATCACAGCATAGCTGAACAAAACGCCCTACTGGAGTAGAGCAACACGCCGCAGCTCCTGCCCTTCACCTCATCCCTGTGACCCAGGCAGGCTCGGACTGGCAATCAGGCATACCAGGCAAATGCCCGGTGGGCCAAGGCTGGCAGGGGAGATCTCAGGATCTCCCCAGCCGGCCTGCGCTACCAGAGCGCCGGTTGTATGCCTTTGTGGGCACGCTTACGCACAGCACACAAAGCTCCATCACTCACACAGCACACTCCCACACATATACAGCACATACATATAAAATAACCCTCAGTGAGTAAACACAAAATTAGAAATCTAGAGTGACAGCAGATAAAAACACACACCACCTGTCTTACACACTGTGCCCCTCACACATACAATAGTCCAAATATATTATATATACTACAGCACCCCTCACTGCACCACTACACACTACGCTCCAGATACACGCTAGATCCCTTACTCTATATACTCGTAATCCTATACACTAGATCTCCTACACACTACATTCCTTGTAAGCAAACACAACATTCTCTAAACACACATTCTCTACAACCCCTGCACACACTCGTTACATCACCTATAATACTATGCCCCTATACACTCTCTACAGCTCCTAGCCACACATTACAAACACGAATGAAATTGACCTATTTACACAATCCCACACCACAATCTACACACTCAATCCCACAAGCAGGCTCCAAACACATGCACCATACGCTTTCCTGGCCCTTTCGTCCTCTGGTATCCCACTTGTGGAGACACCAGAGACAATTTAAAAGCAAACAGCGCAAGCATGTTATTAAATTTGCTTGCGCTGCCCAGAACAAATACAGGGCCTCTTTCTAATGCTAGAGCTCTTCAGTGGGGCTCTGCACATTGAACCAACATGCTCACTTTTAGAGGGGGCGTGCTTGTCATTAGTGATGACAAAACATACCCTCTCTGGCCCTGGCTCCTTCTTAGGGGCTTCTCTGATTGAAAAATGCCTGGGCCTAATTTTTTTTGCCAGTCTGGCCCTGGACTTAGGGAAGTCATCCTCACTGATAAAGAGCTGCAGAATAAGCCTCCCACTTATGCAAATAAAAAGTCCCTACACAACACTACAGACTATCTGCATGCACACTCATACACAATGTGACATATCCACACACTATTCCACAAGCTTCCCCATACACAGCCCACATTCATAGGTATCATACACAATACCATAAACTACTAATGAATATATTCTATACAATATAACAGCCCACATGGGCACAAATACAATGCTACAAAGCAATTGCAGCACAGGCAGAATACGACAACATAAACAGGTCAATTAAAAAAAATAGTACCAACACGCCAAGGGGCTTCAAAATCTCCATGTGGCACAGCACTACTAAAAGGTTGCCTACCTCTGATCTAGTCTAAGTATCCTGGCATCCTTGTGTGGAGTCCTGCTTATTTTCATTTGCATCTCCCTATCTTAAGTATTCCATTTAATGAAGCTTCTGTAGGCCCGAGCAGCCATGTTGGGACAGTCTTCTGTCTGGCCAAGACTGTTTAACCTAACTTGCCTGCTGCAGATTTACACAGCCATAGCAGCAGGCACATTATACAGCAAGGTTGGAACAGTCCGTAGGTTATGACCAAACATGCCTTCTCAGACAATCACCAGATGAAGTGAACTGTGCGCAATACTCTTTTAAATGAGTTTCATTAAAGTGAATTATGAATCTAGGTCTCTTGTAGGTTGTTTTTTTTTTTTTGTGGGGGGGGGTTAACCTTACAATCGAGTATCTCTCCACTTCCAGGTAGAAGGAAAAGGGTTTAAAGAATAAAAATCAGCTCTTTAATAGGTCCATCTATATTTGCTACACCTCTTACAGGTTCCATGATATCTATAATGCAGGAGAAGAGTGAATCTAAAATTTTACAATTTAGTGTACTGCTAGAGCCTCAAACCATAGACTTTCATCTGCAACAAAAGTAGCAGTCAGGACATATCCAAAACATACCAAATTGGTATAGCAGCAGATGTTCATGCATGTTAGCTAGTATATTTTAATGAGGCAGTTTTACTTCATGGGATATGTACTTAAAAGACCACTATAGACACCCAGACCACTTCAGCTCAATGAAGTGGTCTGGGTGCCAGTTCCCTCTAGTGTTAACCCTGCAGCTGAAAACATAGCTTCAGAGACAGCCACTAAAGGGCTTCCAGCCTCCAGCGTCAAAAAAGATCCGCATAGGAAAGCTTTGAGTAATGATTTCCTATGGGCGGGTTTGAATGCACGTGCGCCTGCGCATTTGGCTCCACTCGGTAGATGGAGGAGGAGAAGTCACCAGCGCCGAGCAAGCCCGGCGCTGGATTAAGGTAAGCAAATAAATGGTTAATTAACAATTTATTCACCACGCGCCTAGGGCTCTATAGGGTTAGGAATACATCTTTGTATTCCTAACGCTATAGTGTTACTTTAATGGTGACCGGAAGCAATTACCTATTTACTTGTGCGGTTTTTTTTTTGTGTGTGTGAAACATACCTGGTCTGCATTTGTGCTCTATGGGCGCAAGACATTTAAGTTGAACAGAATCTCATAAAACATGCAATGGTTCTAGATCATATATGCCATGTGTCTCTATTTAGTAGAGGCAGTCCCTATTTTCTATTCTAATGTCATTTTCTAGTAGCCCCATATTGTTGGTGTGCCTGTGTATAACAGATCTCCACTGCAATAATATTCACTGTAATGTGTCTTTAAACTACAACAAATGAGTATAGAAATTTCACTCCTAACATAAAAGGCTCCCACTTTGTCTATTTCAGGGCTGTCAAAAACGTAGATCCACATATTTGTAGAACTACAACTCCCATGATGCTTTGTATGTGTTTAGAATGGCAAGCCATCATGGGAGCTGTAGTTTTAAAACATCTGGGGATCTGCATTTGGGGCACCCCGGTCTATTTGAACTGTTGGAAGATATGTCAGAAGCTAGATGGTTCGCTTAATACGCTTACAAAGAGGTTTTTGGCATTGTTTTTTCTACCAGTCCCCATGAATGCACAGGGCACAATGAATGGTTCAGTTCATCATCTTAAAATCATTTCAGAAAAAGCTAATGGGGCGTTAACTAGCTTATCTCCATCTTGTGTAGTGGTGACAAGTTCTAAACCGTGGACAGGATGATCAATTCTGAATAAATATGTGCTATCACGTGGCCTTGGTTCTAGAAGGTAAGAAGGACCTCTGTCACTAAGCACAGCCACAAGAGACACCTTTGTGTTACTCAGTGTTAGCAAACGTCCACATATGGAATTCTTTGAATAAGTTAGCCTTTAGCTATCAGGACATTTCCGTTTATTTTAATGTATGTTTTATTGCACTGTCTAGTAGCTCGTTGAAGAAGGTGCAATCGGATCTGGCTACTTAGTGTGGGCGTGGCGTACTTCATCCAATTATATCTCGGTGTAGCGCTCTGGAATCCTGGAGAGCCAATGAAAACACAAGCTGGGTAGAATCCGGCACCGCGGGTTATATGAGCAGCTGCGCGCTGACTGTTGGTTACTTTGTATCAGATCCAGCGTTCTATAGAGAGCGTTCTACATTTGTAGCAAATTATCGTTCTTTACTGGCGTCTTACTTTCTCCAAACTTGGCAGCAGTATAGTGTGACAGTAAGTGATATTTAGTATTCTCTCTAAATGCTTGGCAATTCACATCCAACTTATTAAACCTGGGTGTGTCTGATTACCAATATGGTTTGAATTTTCTCTTCTCTGTTCTGTACTTTCTTATATTTTATTTCAAGACTGTATTAACTAAATAGTGGAGATAAAATTTAAATCGTATGAAGGTTTTAACTTTAAATGGCAAAGTGAATTGAATACTAAAATATCGGTATTAAATTTTTATGATGAATTCCAGAGAACTCCTCGTTAAGTAAATAACCCTGTGTGTATCACCTGTCCCATATTATACATTGAGGTATTGCTGAACATCAGTTCGTGACTTTTGCTGCAGTTCCACGCAAAGCTTACAGCAGTAACTTTGCAATGTGTGTGAGAAACAGACTAAAAGACTACCACAAACCTCATCAGACAGTTGGGATTAAAATAACTTTTCCATTGGCTGACAAGCCATATATTATCAGCCCAACATATATTCCTTTTTCCTGGCTAATCATGGCAGCATATACACATGGGGAGCCAGGAAAAGAAAATTTCGGTAATTATGAATAAGTTTTCCACTATAGTGTCTCGTCTTTACTGTGAATACCCCTGTGTGTATCATCACTCAGATCTGCCCCTCTTCATAATAGCCATTTTAAACCAAAGCTAAAATCTCACATGGAAATCCATTTATAAATCCGCATATATTCTGTAATTCCCAATTCGTCAATGGAAACTGTTCATGGATATATTTTAATACAGCAGTTACTGAAAATAAAAGGAGTATAGTTTGCCCAAGTGAATTAAAACCCATAATATCTCCACGTGAGGTGGTGTGTCCAGGTGAATTGGATGCTATGCATCTATTTTGCCCTCCCAGGGGAAGCCATGCTATCCTTCTTAGTTTAAAGATGCTGCATGTGCTGTAACCCTATCAGTCCTAGTATGAACACTCACTACTAATTAAAAAAAAATGCATCACGTGGTTGCAATGAAAACCGATGTGATGGCTGTGGCTTATGCATTATTCTCGGTAGGCTTGCTTGTGTTCCAGGGATCTCTGGAAATGACTTTAAGTGTAGATCATTTATTTGAAAGGGAAGAAAGAACGACTTTCGGTCATTAGGTTCTGACTGAGCAGTGACAGATTGTTAATATATTTAAAGGGGCACTGTCTGGTTGTGGTGTGTGTGTGTGTGTGTGTGTGTGTGTGTGTGTGTGTGTGTGTGTTTTTTTTTGTTTTTTTTTCTCTCCCTAATACCGGTTAAATTAACAGAAATAAGTCTTTTAGTTTGGCTATTTTGACTCAAAACCACACATTAGTGAATGCCTATAAGATATAATATAATATAATATAATATAATATAATATATATATTATTTTTTTTTTTTTTTTTTTTTTGCAGTTCTAAAATGGATTCCAAAGATGAAAGTTCTATTTGCCCTGTGGAAAACAGTTCTGTAATGGATGCTCTGGAGTCTGACTCTACAGTGCTGGTTAGTGACTTAATTTCAGGAGAGAGGGGTAGCCATTTTGTAAACAAAATGGTGCTCAAATCCCACTTTCCTTATATTACACCAAAAAGTGCAAAATAGTGCTCAAAGTGTGTGTGTGTTTGTTTTAGTTTTTTTCCTCATTCCAGATTAAAATTAACCCATGGATTATACACACTGGAAACTATCTACATGTTGATTTATTCTGAAGGTTTTGTGTTTATCTTCCCCCCTTCAGAATGATAAAGAATTACAGCCCCTGAAAGTGTATTTAAGAGTGCGCCCCTTTTCGAAGGCAGAGCTTGCAAGCAATGAATCCCAGGTTAGTTTTGAAGACTTGACAACTTTCTCTATATCGGAATCATTTTAACTTCTAAACTATCTTCATCCTTTTGTTTGTGGCTGGAAAAAAAATACTTCAGATATTTGGGGTGAAGGAGGCATTTTGAATTTTAGATTATTTTGACATGTGGGTAGTATACAATGGCTCTGCTGCTGCATTTGGTGTGCTGCTCTGGTCAGAAAGTGATTCAACCAATGTTTAGCATGTTATAGCCGTGTGTACCTTGGTTCGTAGCAGTGACTTAGAAAAAGTGTTGGTTTCTGGAAATTGTAATACAGTTGCTGACTCTAGAAAGGTAATAAACTAACTGTTAATGTGTGTTTGTTTGTTTTTTTTGTTTTTTTTGTTTTTTTTTTAAAACAAAAAATGCAGCATACATAACGTCACCCTTTCCTAAACATTGAACCGGACATGTACGTAATGAACCAAACCAGAGTTAGCCACCACAAAAACTGTCTGCGTTTTTAACAATAAATAAAAATCAATGTAAGAGCACTCAACACACTCAGGACTGCTAGAAATGCCCTTCAGTACAAGTTTACATCCCTAGCAAGTTTTGTGAAGTTTAATATTTATTTTGCATTAGGACTGTGTGACTTTAGAGAACACGGAAACCGTATCTCTTCAAGCTCCAAAAGACTCATCTGCCATGAGAAATTGTGAAAGAGGGATTGGACAATCTATACACAAATTTACTTTCACTCGGGTAAGTAAATCAACCAGCGTTTGTTATAACTGAATTTCTAAACAATGATAATTACATTGTGGCCACCTTTTTTAAAATCGATTTACCTTAACTTCCTAAATATATTAAAATTTCATACAAGTATACTAAAACAATATAGAAATTATATTTTGTTTCAAATTATGTAGATTTTTGGACCGGATACAACACAGGCAGACTTTTTTGATGGCACAATGAAGGATTTGGTAAATTCCTTTATTACTGGGCAAAACGGACTTGTGTTTACATATGGTGTGACCAATGCTGGTAAAACCTTTACTGTGCAAGGTATGAATTTATTCCCTTTTTAATATTGCTGTACATTAAATACAGTTTGGTTAAAACCTCTATTCTCTCCAATAGGTAACCCAAAAGATGGTGGTATTCTTCCCCGAGCGCTGGATGTTCTATTTAGCTACGTATGTGGTAGACAGTACCCAAAGATGAATTTAAAGCCCTACCTGGGTAATGATGTCATGAAGCTGGATCCTGCTCAAGTGAAACAAGAGGAGGCTATGAAAAACGCTCTCCTTTCCTCTGCAAAAGAGGTTTGTTTTAAGTCTAATGTACTAATCCAATTTTTTTGACATTTGATGGCAGTACGTATGGGGTTGTGCTTCCTAATTGGGACAAGCATCTGCAAGATAGGAATTAAGAAGTCCCTCCCCTTTTACCCTATAAAGGGCTTCCCCCAGCAAACCCACTTCAGTTCTTCCTTGTCCCAGCACGGGACGGATCAGGCATCTGTTGGAGGTGAGGCACACTGGAGGATGCGGCCCGATTGCAGGCAGAGCGGCCATGCTCCTTCCGTGGAGGTACGGAACTTCAACACCAGGATCTTTGTATTCCGAGTAGGTACCAGCATTGGGAAGAAAGCGTGGCCCTTGGACGCAATGAGTATATGGCAGGCCTTGCGCCTGCGCACAGCGGTGGAACGTACGCCCGGGTGGTGTGTTCCACCGAAGTTCCGGTTGCACATGTGCGAACCGGAACTTCCTGGAAACGGCAGAGTGTGGATCGCTATGTAGTTCCCTCTGGCAGCAGGACGCTTGTTGGAAGGGTTCCCTGTGTCACACACAACCACCCCCACGGATCAGAGGTTTTCAAGGTAAGATTAGCTAATCTTTACTTTGAAAATCTGTTCTGATTGGAATAGAAGAATTGGAGTTTTGCTTAATGGTCTGTTTATGCACCTTGGAATGCCTCTTCCATAAACATGCTTTTCTTGTGGTATCTGTGCTGCTCCCCTTCCTGTTGTACTGGGGTATATAATTGTAACAATGGTGCTGCAATTTCTTTGGTAAATTTAAGCAAAGACTATGCTGTCATTCCTATCCTGGTGTCAAGATTATCAAGCCCTATCTTTGGATTCTTATGGAGGGGAAAAAAAGTTTATCAGCTGCTGTTCCTGAGATGGTCCAAAGAGGCAGGTAGAAGAGAAGGTCTTCAGCTACATCTAATGTGGTTTCTGGCGTATATTTGTCTACATCTTATTGAGATATATCTGGTTCATCATATTGTGTGGAGTTGGTTCCCACCTGATGTACTAAGAAGGTTCATTAAAAATTAGTCGGTCATGGGGAACTTTTGAGGGTTCTCTGTTCCTCAGACCCCTCGTATTCCTTATTTGCATAAATGGGGGGGGGGGGAGGAAACCCTGTGTAACGAGCATTTATTGCCTGGTGTTTAATGTTTACAATTAAATGGGGTAAAGGTTACATCCCCAAAATACACTGGGAAGCCAGAAAGTTCTGCATTTCTCTTCCCTAATCCCATAGGTGAAACAGCGGATTTAAATACTAAGTTCAAGAAGGCTGAGACCTATTACAGACTATCTTCCAGGCTGCTGGTTTTCGGAATAAGTCTTTGCTGGCAGGTGCAGCGGTGCCCAGAACTTATAACTTTGATTACTATTGTTAATGGAGGTCATGGAAGTCTCCAGGCGGCAGCAGCAGCTTTTAAGTTTACTGCTGTATTTGTGATTGATTGACATGGCTGATAAATTTTGAAACTGGCAGCCAAAAGCATGGGTTGATCTTCTGTTGCCCTTGTGTCCTTATGGCTTAAGCTTGGACTGTGGATCAACGTCCCTTTTGGACCTCTGTTTATTTTACTGTGTTTTTACCTTAGGAAAATGGGTATCTTATGACTGATGTCAAAAACTAAAAAAGCTCTGCCTCAAGACAAGTAGTTTTTACCTGTTGGTAGAACTAGGTCCAACATGGGTAGGTGTTTCTGATGCCAGGAAGGTTGGAGGCCGAATCCTACATTTCTATACTAAGTGTAGATAGCTCAGTGGGCTAATGCTTGCTTCAACCCTTTGGGGGTCACAGGTTTCCCCAGCAGGGTTGACTCAGCCCTTCATCCCTTTTTGAAGTACATGTATTGAGTACCATTAAATGGAGTCACTTAACATTCCCAGGATGCATTTGGGAATCCGTATATATCTTTCCTGGCGTTTAAGGGGAATCTACTTGCAATCACTGGTCTTTATCTAGTACATAGGGCACCGCCTACTCTTTGAGAGTTTGTCCAATCCATTATTCCTCCTTTATTTGGAAGTCTTCCGAACATCTGGTACTCTATTTAAAAAAAAGAAATGGAAAAAAAGTCCCTGTTGGATACAAGGAGTTGGCGATATGGTTCTAGTGACCACGAAGTTCATAAAGTTCCTCAGGAATCTCCTGGATACCAAAGCTGGATTGTTCCTTTTAGACCGGTTTTGAATTTAGATTTGGTTCATCTCCTAAGGTTCACAATCAAACCTGATGTTTCTGTAACTGATTCTGCAGAAAGGAAATTGCATGGTGTGTGTGTGTATGTATCTCAAGAAGTTTTTGGAAGATGTGCCATAAGTGGATTGAAGAGACTTCATCTTCCTCCAGGAATTTGTATTTCCTAGACTCTATTCATGGAAGTTTTGTTTAACTGGTAGACAACGTCAAGTTTTCTTTCAACAAGTTTGACCTTTCAACCTATAGAATGGGCAGTTCTCCCTACATAAGGCATCTCACAGGCTGGGGCGCACCTCTAAATTCTCTAATGTGCCAGCATTCTTGGTCCAAAGAAATAAGTTAACTAACCTCAGAGCTTGCCGATGCAGATCTTGATTAATGGAGAAACTTATTAGGATGCAGTCAGACCACAAAACTGTGTCTTAAGTCGACAGACTGGGTGGTGCCAGTGTCAAAGTCTGTTTCAATGGTGTACTGGGCTCAGGATCTCTGGGAGGTCTTCCCTCCATTCAACTTATGGGGTACCGAATATGTCATCACCTACAACCCCAGCATGAGGGAGTGGGATCAAGAGAATATCTATAGATCCGATTCTAAAGGGAGATTTGGAGGGCCTGGATAGACCTTATGACAAGGAGGGAGAAACTTAAGATTCCCAGGTTTACCTCCCTATACATGACCTTTCTCTGGGATTGTTTCTCTCCTATAGACTGATCCCAAGACTTCATCAAAAGCTATGAACAGACGGAACAGTGGTTCTGTCAATCTTTCCATACTGCCCAAACACTAGCTGGTTTTCGGCCTTGATGGAGATGATTTCCAAGTTTGGGATCTCCCTATCTCAAACACTTTTAGATGACCAGATGGGTGGCTGGAAGTGTTTAATGGGTTCATATTGATGGCAGGGCAACTGCATGGTGGATCCTTCATCTTCTGAGTCTTCATAAGGAAGAATCCAATTGTTGCGTCTAATGGTTGTTCCATCTCTAACTTTTACATAAGTTGGGTAGAGTTTCTACATTACTGTAAGGAACATCATAGCCTTCTAGTTAATTTGTCCGTTGGTTCAGAGTTATACTTCCTTCATGAGAGTTCCACAGGTTGGGCATTTCCACTTTAAGACCATATTGAATTCCATAAGTTCTTTCTGGGAAAGGATCGGCCTTTGTATATGCTAGTTGGAAGTTTTGTTATGCAATAGGCTTCTTAGGTCACCCAGGAAGTTAGGTTTAACTCTTGGGATCTTTCTTCAATCTTCCAGGTTCCCTTGGAGTTTGGAGGTGGTTCCACTTTAAGTTTCTAAAGCTGAAACCGCATTCTTAGTGGCCATTACCTCTGCCAAGAGAGAAGGTGAGCTTCAGGATTTTTTTTTTTTTTCTTCAGTAGAATTTGGTATATTCAGTCAGGATAAAGTAGTGTTTAATCATAAAAATTTAATTCTTCCAGGGTTATCCTTTTTAGAGCAGTTTAAACCTCCCCGCTGGAACAAAGATGGACTATACTAGAGGTTAAAAAGTGCATTACAGGTCTACCTATCAAGATCAGCCGAATACAGTAAACCAGATCACCTGTTTGTCATCTTCTATTTCTCGTTGTTTGGTCTATCAAAATGGCTTGCACTTCAGTAGTTTTCCTACGCCAGCTTCTCTCACAGCACATTCCACAAAGCAATGGCATTTTAGGCTAGAGGTACTCTCTTCCTCTAAAATTGCATTGGGGCATAATGCCCTCCATATTGGGGATCTTGCTATATCCCATACGTATTGCCACTATGTCAGAAAAAACACATTTTTACTCACCATAATTTTTTTATTTTTTTTTCTCTTAATATGGTGGCAATACAAATCTCCCTCTGAATTACAAATTTTGCTTGTGATATAGGGCGTAGGTGTTTTTTCACTCTACATCTGAGGTGTTTGCCAGGTGAAGCCCTTTATAGGGTAAAGGGGGAGGGACTTTTCGTAATTCCTATCTTTGCAGATGCTTGTCCCAATTAGGAAGCACAACGTACTGACACCATATTAAGAAAAATATAATTTACGGCGAGTAAATTTCCTACTTTCTAGTGTGTGTCCCCAGTACAAGCAACATATTTATTATATAGCAATGACCCTGCAAACATTCAGAATCCTTAAAACTGTAATAAAACAAATTCATGTACTATCCTAAAGGCCACAATTTGTATTGGCTAGTAAGGTGATCAATATTGATTGTTTTGTAACATCACCTCTAGCTAGAGTGTTTACTGTGCTTGTAAAAGTCCTTTTTGCTATATGCCATATAAAAATATTGTTAATCTAAAATGATCCAATACACTGACACATTAAACCAGCTGTAAAGTACCTCACTTTTTTTTCTTACACATCTCCCGTTCAGCTTAGAGTGCTACCCTTTTAATGTTCCTGCGACTGCTGCAAATCCCATGCTTATAATGTGCAGAGTCTTCCTAAACACTTAAAACTTTCTTTATTGCACTCTGTTTAACTTGACATTTATCTCCTGCTCTGTTAATGGCTTGCTGGAGCCTCTTATATGTGATGACTTAAATCCACAGAACAAGAGATAAAACTTCTAAAGTTAGTTAACATCAGATTTTAAAATGAAACCATTTTTAATGCAGGCTGTCACAGCCAGGAAGGTGTGGTTGGGGCACAATAAACAAGTGATTTAACTCCTAAATGGCAGTGAATTGAGCAGTGTGTGTGTTCAGAGGCATGGTCTACACACCAAAGCTGCTTCATCAAGCTATAGTTATTTTAAAAATAATATATTGTCCCATTTAGACTAAAGGTCTCTATCAGAACCATAAGGGGAGGTGGATACTCATTACTTATGTGCAAATATTTGCAACCATGGCAGGAAATGTAGGTTCCTTCTCTGACAAATGCTAGAAAATGTGTATATGCTTATTGCAGCCACGGGTTTACTGAATAAGAATATACCCGGCAAGTAAGAATGCTATCCCCCCCAGATTTGTGGGGGTTCCTACGCCCTTGACTGCAGCACCTAGATATGTGTATTGAATCTTCCAAATCTCTATCAGCATCTGTATGTAAAGCCAAAGGACACATAATCTACATACATCCCAACCTATGCTTGGAGTGTCTATTTGTACTTATTGGCCTTCTTGAAATCTAGCAAGTCTAGACTGACTTCTATAGAATGGGTTGAATAATGGGGCCAAACAATATTAAAGTGTGGGATTTTCTTCCACACTGATTTTATAGATCTACACCAGTGTTTATCTGTAATTCTGTTTGAAATGATGCTAACTTTGTAAAAAAAAAAAAAAATAAATAAAAAAATAAAAAAAAATCTTCTGTTCCAGGATGGTATGAAGACTGCTATAAGCTCTAGTAACCTGAAGCAAAACGCATATTCAAGTGAAAATATCCCAGCTTGCTCGGGTAAGACCTTCTGGTGTGTGTGTGTGTGTGTGTATGTATGTATTCTATGAGCAAACTCCATTTTGTTTAACAGTATTCACCATTTCATGTTAAATTACGTGTCTGAAAGGTATTGGATTCTCTGCAGTGTTTAGGACTCCTGACTGATTTCTAAATCTTCTCATAAGTAAACAATAATTTTTCTAGGACATAGCATCTTGGGAGGGGTTATTTGTTTCCCTTCTCTTCCAACTGCTATTATTAAACTTCACCCCCCTTTAACATGTATGTAGTGGTGTCTTACCCCTTCATGTTGCAATAATCACTCAATGATCAATTTACATCATCTTGAATACTTTACTTCTCGGCTCCCCAACCCATTTTCTGGAGTTACCAGTCTCATGGATTAGAAACCATGATCTCTACCTAATGCCTCCACTGTCTAAACTGTTTGTTAGCTTCCTTTTTTGTTGGTCTCAATGGACAACCAATTGCTTAGTTTTCATAGAAATGTAATGAATAATATATTTTGCTACTAGCGCAACTAATGCTGCTTGGCAGTGGTGGAATGGCGTGAATGGTGCAATGAGTAGCTTAACATTTTTCTTGTACGTGTAGAGCACATTTTATGAAAATGTTAGAGATGCATGCAATCACAAGCTACATTTTTGTAGATCTCTAGTTTTGCTCTCTCTCCCTAATATGATGTTACGTAAATTTGACTTTAAAATATATTCTCTCCTATAGTTCTGCATAAGGGGCGGATCATGGGGTTACAGTGAATGTTGCATTCTGAAAATGTTTCAGGGACAACACAATCACTCGCTGCCAGGCTTCCAAATAGAATATATCCTTTATCTAAATGACATTAGTGTCTTCAGTTAAGTCCCTCATTGGCCCCAAATGACCGCATAGTATCAATTAGAAGCATGACTCCAAGCCCTCTGCATGTGAAAGCTGGTACTGTAAACTATTTAGGATTTAAAAGTGGAGGGAAGAAACTAAGACATGAAGGCTGTGGTGTTAACAATACACATCTATACTTCTAATGCTGGTGTCCCATTAAATCTAAATAACAAAATGGAGGAAAAGATGTTTGCTTCAGGTTTTTCCACTCCTATTTAATTTGTGAATATTTAGTGAATTTCACGTGCATGGAGCCTCACTTCTGTCTAAAGTATTTCCAGATTGTAAAATGACTCCTACGTTTTTTAGATGATCAAAACCTGTTCCAGTTCTCCACTTGGGTGTCCTTCTTTGAAATCTATAATGAATATGTTTATGACTTGCTGGATCACTTCCCATCAAAGAACCAAAAGCGGCCAGCTCTTAAAATCAGTGATGACCAGTCAGGCACTTCATATGTAAAAGGTAAGCTTGGTTTTACAGTGTGCAGTTACTCGCACAAAATAGAATGCACGTCTTAACAAAAAAAACTGTAAGCTGTTCCCTCTTTGTGTTTGTGTGTTTACTATTAAATGTGTATTTAATTTTTGGGGCTCATTCAGAATTTTTTATTTTTTTTTATACTTGGTGAGCCTTTTAAATCAGAGCTAAAGTCCTTTTACAGCCATCCGCAATTGATCCACATATGAATCATTAACATGTCACCACTTACTAGAAAGCTTTAGTGACTTTAGTCACACATCCTTCTTTAACAGAGACTCCAATTGGCTCATCTCATTGAAGAGGTTTTAGTGCCTGGAGTCCTTTTTGTTCACTGTTAAACAGTTTAAGGTTCTGATGATAATCGGCAAGATCCCAGCAGTCCATCCCCTCTGTGCAGCTTGGGCTAATGTGCAGCAGTGGGTGGCTGTGATTGGCTGAGTGTAAGCTTACTGCTTTCAGGTTCACAGCTGCCTGTTGCTGGTATGAATTGGTATGACTGTGTGTACTTCCTGTTTTAGCCATTCTTGCAGTGGGGTCTGGACTGTGGGTCAGCAGGGATCTGAATGGAGGGGACAGCATTTGAGGCCTCAGGCATAAATACAATTAAATGAGATGAAATGGTTACAGTACCCATTTTGCCCTTTAAGTTCCTGTTGAATGGGCCCATGCCGTGCAGTTAGTGGAATCTGAACAAAAAGGCTGACCCAAGTAAGCTGTCTTATGCGTTAACCTACAGTTATCACTAAACTGTATGAATAAGAGTTCAATGCTAAGCCTCCACTTAACTGTCTGCATTCCACCTATGTTTCTAATAAATTCTTCTAGCAGAAAGACATGCCAATAATGCAGTCTGACCAAGCTTATAGATTTATTTTTGTTATTGCATACTTCTCAATCTGTGGTTTTATTTTTTTATTTTTCCCTTTATTTTGGTTTTGTATATTTGTTTAAAATGGTTTAAGTGGTTGGCCTGAGCAGCCGCATGCATTCTGAGAAAGCCAGATTGGCCCAGATTTTCCATGCATATTTTTTTTTTTTTTTTTTTTAATACGGAGAGTAGTAAGAGTAGGCCAGACATAGCATCAGAACTTGTAGAGGACTTTTCCCTATACATAGAATGGTGGACTTGGGATTTCAGGGGTCCACTAAGACTTATCAACAGGTTGAGGGGACCTCTAACTTGGTGACTTTGGCCATCTTCACCACCCTCCTGGCGTACCTCCATCCAAAGTATTTCAGCAGAGATATCACAAGTGTTGGAGGATGTTGGTGTTTACAGCCATATTTGACACAGTGGAGCAACCCACAGGAATCTACAGAAGCAACTTGGTGACCGAACACCTGCCCAACTCCAGCTAGAACACAAATTATTGGCTCTGGAGCATTTAAAGAAGGTGGAATCACCTGAAAAATCACCTGAAAAATAGAGATGGTCCTCTCCCTTTTTCTCTGACCTCTCCAGTATGACCCTGCAGTTGAGGAAATTACTCCAACTCCCAACTATCCTATCTAAACACTGCCTAATGTGATGGGAGTGCTAGCTGTTTGCTCAACAAAATAATACTGTGCACAATGTCACTGATGCTGCAGAGTTGGATGCTGTCTGATCTACATTGGGTCTCTGTCTGATCCCATAACCCATCACTACTGGGGAACACTGAGACGGCTGCTACCTTTATAGGACCCTGTCAATATCATTAAATTTACCCCTGCAACTAGAAGCGGTATGAGTATATCGGTTACCTGAATATTGTATTTTTATGTTGGGACTTGCCTTATTTTCATTGTTGCTTTACAGTTTTCAAATTCGATATTTATTTTATTTTTTTCCTTTCCTTTTCAGAGAACCTATCCTTTACACAGCTTTTTAGAATACCTTGATTTCCACGTCTGAGTGCCGAGACTGGGTATTCCCCTGCCAAGCTGGCTCCCAATTTATTACCCTTATAGCTCCAGTCTCTCTAACATTCTAATCTGTTCCAGGGAGCGGTCTCTCTCCTAACACTCTAGGAAATCTTTTTGCATATTCTCTTCCTTTCCCAACCTGCTTAGCCTGTGCAATTCTTACAAATCTACTGTATTGGAAATGCATTTTTTTAGATGTTCTCATGGCCTGTTTGTGTTCTAATATAACAAAAACCAATAAATAAGTCAATTATGTATTGCTTTTGTGCACTACTTGTATACTTATGCACATCTTGTATTGCATTATGTCTACCCTATGTCTGACTGTAGAATAAAAATAAAGGTGTGTGTGTGTGTTTTAACCAAAACCTGTGTGTATTGAACACTTATTTTTTATTTTTTTTTATATTGGAATAGATTTGAAGTGGTTTAATATAACTAGCACGGAGGAAGCTTGCAAAATACTGCAAATTGGCAACAAAAACAGAAGTTTGGCATCTACTCGGATGAACCAGCAATCCAGTCGCAGGTATGACTCATAGATTCGCATTTAAAGTGTCCATATCCATTCTTGAATACCAAATGTGCCTACTGGAATGCAGGGAGTGAGATGAAGAGGCCATGTGGCTTTTTGTAGGTATTAACTTGGTAATCTACTCTAGTCCTCTCTCAACTGGTGCTTGATTCTTATTTGCTTAAATTTCATTAGTTTGCAACATTTTATTATGGTCAAATCTATTTTGGATGCCTGGGAAATGGACTTCTTGATGTGGCTGTGCTGTCTCCTAAAACAGTGTTCTCATTGTATTGGTAGTATGTTAGTCTGTATAATTGAACTTCTGTAGGATTGAATTTGTGCCATGTAAAACTAAATGTTTCTTCCTCAGCCATAGTATATTCACAGTTCGACTTTTGAAACTAAGTTCTGCTGAAGACCCCAGCGTTCTTGGCGTCTCAGAGTGAGTATCTTTGTACATTTCATTCTTTGCGGACTTCTGTATTTAAACACTGGACTAATTCACTTTCATGATTGAAGAGCATTCCAAAAAAAACTTGTTAGAATTCTCGACAACTTTTTTTTTTTATTTTTTACTTTTTTCTTTTTTTTCTTTTTTTTAAATTTTTTTATTCCTGGAACTTGTAAATATCTGTGCAGGATGTCTCTCTGCGACTTGGCTGGGTCTGAAAGGTGCAATAAAACACAGACTGTTGGGGACCGTTTGAAAGAAGCTGGTAATATAAATACATCTCTGCTCATCCTTGGCAAGTGCATTGCCGCTTTAAAACAAAGTCAGAACCCAAAGTAAGTTAAATTAAGGTAAAAGTACATCATTATAACATCATCGGTTTTATTTGTTATCAAGACTAATCAGACACTTGCAAATCAAGTGAGAACTTGCTATTTACAGTATGTTTTCAACTTTGCTTATTGTGTAAGAGTTTACGCTAATGTATCTGCTGCTCCCGCGCTAGCTGTACTATCTGAGCAATAATATCAGTGATATGGACGCCCAGGTCAATTAACATGTTACATTGCTAAACATGGTGCTAGATTAAGGTAAGGGTGTGAATAAGAACACTTACAGAATGGAAGACCAAATAATAAAACCATTGCAATTTATTTGGACTAAATTTTGTAGTGTCAATCTTTCGGGAGTTTCTCCCTTTATCAAGTCTAAAGCATTTTTGACCACAATGAAACCAGCAAATTGGGTTATTGACGTAATTGTGACGGATCTCCTGTACTCTGACAAAGTGGGGAGGCAGCCTGAAACGCTTCAAGCCCAGTCGCCGAGGCTTGACTGGGGTCTCTCTGGAGCTTTCCTACCAAACAGACTGCAGCTCACCTTCCAGGCAGATATCGTATGTTCTGCTACAGCCCTTCTTCCAGTCAGGTATCCACCTCAGTCTGCAATGTGTGTTTTTTTTTTTTTTTAGTTTTTTTTTTTTAATATAAATTGCCTTTACAACGGCACTTGCGGCTTTCAGGCCTAGCTCTCTTTATTTATCCCAGGGCTTAGAGGGATCGTGCAGCCAGCCAACTGGTCCGAAAACTTACACGGAGATCCCTAAAAATACACACAGAACACAAGTTCCAAAAGGAATGAACATACAAAGCCTTATTTTTATTTGGGGCTAGCCCATATGATTACATAAAGCTTACAGTGACACATTTAAATGCATAAAACCAAATCACTTGAAGAAACACAGGCACTGTTAACACACAAACCTAACAACAAAGGGTCAGGAAAGATAATAACTTTAAATCTACTGTCTGCAGAAACCATAATATGCAAATCCACCTGAAATATGCAAATTACCAAGCCTTGCTATTCAGGTAGTGCTTATTGGTGTTGCTACCAACAGGTGGTGCTGCACAGGCTCCCCAGCCAAATCCACCTATTATATTTTCACACTCTCTGCACTTATGGGCACAGGGTGTCTTCGACATAGTAGTCCAGGGTCCTACATGAAACCCCCCCCCAAAAAGTTTTAATAAACTTATTCAGCAATATGAAATTGAGGCCCAATATGGCTGTAACACAGGTTAAAGTACAGAAAATATTCTAGAGTGTTGTAAATATACACTAGGATGGGTAAATTGGAAGGAAAAGAGTTAAATGAAATGATGGCATGTTTAAGGGGGGGGAAGGGGGGGTGGGGGGTGATGGGTAGGGCACAAATGTGCAGAAATAAAAGCAGGATCACAAGCTACACAAATAAGGGCAATGCACAAACTAATACAGGAAAACTAGCAAAGTGGAACAAATGCAACAATTTAGCTGGTTTCGATAACGATTTTACCACCTTTTAAAACACCTGTATGCCTTCTCTTAGGGCATCTTCCTATAATATGTGTAACCTACACCTGCTATTGTATCCGTTTTTCACCACTATTTGTATTTGTTACCCCTTTTTGTTCTTGTTTTACTTTGTCTCACAGAAAGATAAACTACGTACCATTCAGGGAAAGTAAGCTGACTCGGCTCTTCCAGCCATTTTTTTGTGGCAAAGGCAAAGCTTGTATGATTGTCAATATTAACCAGTGTGCATCGACCTATGACGAAACTCTTCACGTTATGAAGTTTTCAGCAGTTGCTAAACAAGTGAGTGATATTTGAAAGGGGAAAAAGTGTAGTTTCACACTGCCTTACGATGATTCACCTTAATTTAAAGTGTTTTTTTTTGTTTTTGTTTTCATTAAATCCTCATTCTGGTAGTAAAATTTATTTACATTTTAAGTCAGATTTTTTTTTCATATTGTTGGTAGTTTATAAACTCTCTCCCTCACTTTTCTGGTGGTCTGGGAATATGATCAAACAAAACCCATGATTAAAGAACTATTAAAGGCACCCAGAACATTTAATCTTAATGTAGTGTTCTGGGTGCACAAACTTTTTTTTTTTTTTGCAATTTTGTACAAGCTACAATTCTTACATTGTGTGGTTACTGCATCTCTAGAAGCAGGCTTCCCAACAGGCAGTAGATGCACTTTACAGATGAGAACCTTTAAATTCAGTTATCAGTCCAGTGCTCCTAGAGTGGCAGTTCACTGTTGCAGTGCAGTGACTTTCTGCGCATGCACAGGAGCCTCACAATGCTTCCCTGTGAGAAAGCATAGGATTGGTGGACATTATTAAAATTGATTATCTTGGCCAAGGAGGGAGGAAAACATAAGACTGCAACACGCCAAGAGTAAAGTGTACAGGTAAAGTGGCTACAGGGACACTTAAGCTTTGGGAATACATGTTTGTATACAGTGTTTAAGGGACACTAGATTGTGTTTGGTAAATCAAGGGGCAAAAATTGCAGACTTCAATATAAATGTTCATTTTTATAAAATAACCTGGTTATGCCCCCTGGCAGTCAATCCGTCAACAAGCCCTGTTACTACTAAGCAGTTTTAGCACAGTGCAGCGAAGCATTACAGGCAAGAAATGGATCAGAACACCTGCCTTGCAAAGACTTATTTGAGCTGCTTTGGAAAGTCTGTGATTGGTGTAGAAGGGGAGGCCTTTTTCATTGGGGTGTGTGGTGTTTTATGTTTGTGTGTTTTTTTGTTGTTGTTTTTTTGTTTTTTTTGTGTGTAGTGGTTTTAAAGATTGGATGCATATAAAAGATTACTATACAGTGCATAGCCATTCACAAACCTACTGGGTTTTCATACGTAGTAAAATAAATATAGGATTCTACAAGCTAATATTCCTGTGGGATTCTTCAAAAAGTCATTGTAAATGTAAAACCCCAAATCCATGACTTATTTTGTATAGTGTATAGTCGTATAACTAGACACTAACTGTCCAGTGTTTTTTAGACCAGTCCTTTCCAGGTAAAACCTGTACCAGAAAACTTCTATATAAAACATTCCTTTTGCCCATGAGAATATCACAAGTTCTTAGAAAACGTAGTCTACATTGAGGAAATTTATATAGTGGAAATAATCCGTAATGTGTCGTGGTGTGTGTTTGTATTTTTTTTTTTTTTTTTTTTCCAGAATAGCAGTTTATTAAACATTCTGTTTTCCGCCAAAAACTCAAACTTTTTTTTTAATTCCAAAAAAAAATCACTTTAATGAATAGAATAACCCCGAAAGAAAGGTATATTTTTCTTTATACCTAAAAGGTTATTCATATTAATAAAAAATATGCCAAGTGATTATTAAAATGTATTTTGAATACCATTGTAGCAGGTATTAAGTGCCTCACCACAATGCTGTCTTCAAATCTTTGCTGCAATATTTTCATGGACTTAAATTGGACCTATTTAGTATTGATTACTGGCTTGACTTAGGTTGTGCTCTGTCCGATCTTTATATCCCAAATCATTCTATATTGCTCTTCTTGAATCCTTTTGTGCCTCCGTGTGGGGCTATAGTGAATTAATTTCAAAGTCTTTTTTTGGTTTTTTTTTTTTCTATATCCTTGACACAAAATGATAAACTTGTTTTCATATATACATTTATTCAAGGTGGTTCAAACTATTCAACCCAGAAACTTTGAATTTATGAACTCAAGAGTAGTGGGGAAAGATGGCAAGGTTATCGTCGAAATTGATGCCGATGTGTCTATCGAGGATCTTCTTTCGGAGGATGAAGAGGAAATTGATGTCAGTATCTTATGTCCAGAGGTGAGTAGTATGTCTCTGCTGTGACACTTCTAATAGTTTACTCTAATAACTTGTAAATTATTTTTTTTATTTTTTTTTGTACAGTTGTGTAAGAATCTGGCATTTGAGGTTTATCAAAGGTGTGCGTGTTGTGTTTTTTTTGTTTTTTTTTTTTGTTTTTTTTTCTCCAGTGACATGGTTTATCCATCCTAGGAAACTGTACCATCATTTTGAAAATAGTGTTGCTTTGTCAGTTTCTCAGAGGTGGCATAGCCCTTCATGCTGTTTGTCTAAACTTAAACTGTATATCCTAATCTGTTTTGTAATATCATACATTACATATATACACTTAGCAATGCAGTTATTTCCTGTGAGTAAGCTAATCTCTAGGCATGGGCATTTTGTTTCAAGCAAATCAATTGGTATTAAAAAGTTCAGCAAATGCACATCTAATCTCACAAAAACCATAAATTCCACAGAGCTGCCAAGACACTATAGCTCCTTGAAGAGCCATTAAAACAAACTGCTTACGTCCTGGGGACACTTTGTATTATATTATCCTAAGTAGCTGTATTGTGTATAGGCTACCTGGGATGTACTCTGCCAAGAGCAATACGTTGATTTATTTTAAACACTAAATGCAACTTTCAGTTGTATGCACAGAAATTCTTTGGGGGTGAGGGTGGGTTTGGATCAACCTCTTTGCAAACTAATCCAAATATAAATTTTTAGGACCTGCTGAGAAAGATTGAAGAACTAAAAGAGAAGCTTTTTGCTGAACGCCAAAACAAGCTGGTTCTTGAATTACAGATCCGAAAAGAAATGGGTGAAGCGATGTATAAACAGATGGTGGATCTTGATGAAGGTTATAGGTAAACGTGGGTTTATTTTTTTATTTTTTTATTTTTTTTTTCCTCAGTGTACATAAATGCCCTTAAAGCATAGTTAGCTCAATCTTAAACTCTTATTAAATTCAGTCTTGGCAAAAAGTCATAATTCAGCACACACAACTATTATCACCACTCCATTAGGATCCACGCTTAACCTTTCCCACTGCTCAGAAGAAAGCTGGTGCCCATTCAAATCTCCCACCCTGCTATCATTGCAGGATACTTCAACATCTAAACCTAGCACAATGAGATCTCGGGTAAACCACAAAACCGCCACCACGTTTCGTCTAGTAATCCAAACTACCTCAGGGCAATAGAATCTCCAGGAGTAAATATATTGGGTATTTAATACATAACTCTTAAAGACCTTTCAGCGATATGTTTATAATTTTATAAAAATAAAATCCAGGGGAAAATGTTGCGTTATTAAATTTCAATAATAGGGTGCATACCAGCTAAAGACTAAATTTGCCATTTTGGGAGACTGCATTTTTAATTTAAAGATGAGACTTTACCCTTGATATTTAGAGTGTGGATGCTTATTTTTCCAACTTACCTTTTTACCTATTCAAGCCTGTGGAAAAGGTAAAATCCCCATGTAAATAAACTATACTTTTTATTTTTTATTTTTTTTTTTTTCATTGGCATTATGATGCGGTAGTGTTTACCTAACCACTCCAGAGATTGATGTGAGTGGACAAGTTGAAGGAGATTATCACAGATCTGTACACAGGCTGACATGAACCCGATGAACTGATAATGTCCTTGATAATACTATAATCTGGACAGAAGCATCAAAAGCACAATCTGAGAACTATTTTAATGCTAAATCACCCTGTAACGCAGAAAATGTTTTTAATTAGCAAACTGGTTTATATGTACACCATGGTTAGGCAGCTTTTTGCACTCCAGATGTTGTGCACTGTATCCTATAATACTGGCAAAGCATCAGGGGATTTTTTTTTTTTTTTTTTTTATATACAGATAATCACATATAAGAGTTTGTGGGATATTTTTCTTTGTGTTGTGTAACCCCACACTCACCTTCTGGGTTTTATTCTAGAATAAACGTAACGATCTGCTAACATTCTGTTTCCAAGCACTTTATTTTAAGAAGTTTGTATTTCTTTAAGTCGGCGCATTGAAGAACTTAGAGAAACCTATGAAGACCAAGTGGAGAGCAGGTTAGAACTGTACAAAAAGGCGATAAAAAATCATGCCTATCGGCATGCCCTGGAAGAACTTGAAGAGAACTATGTGCCACTAGATGAATTCCAGGTTGAGCAAGAGAAAGCTGAGGTGTGTGTTTAGATTTGATGTAGGCATATCTACAATTATCATTTTGATTTGTAATAGCTGCAAATATTTATAAAGTTAGATCCATGCATTAAACATGTTCATGAAAATTAAAATTACTAGAACTACTATACAGAAATCCAAATCAAAGTAAACATTGTTCTCATGAATTTAAATACTTTAAAAATGTTTTGAATGGTTACTCCAAGCACCACGAACACTGATTTGAAGTGGTCATGGTGCCTGTAATCTGTAGCAAAATGCTTTACATACGGCATTTAACCCAGAGTGGCTAATGTGAATCCTGTGCAAATTTGACCTTTTTTACCAGCAGGCACAGCAATGGGGGGGAGGTTGGAGTAACACTTGTTTCTGTACTCGTGGGTGAATGCTTTGAGGCCCCAGAGCTTTGTTTAACCCCTTAAGGACACATGACATGTGACGTGTCATGATTCCCTTTTATTCCAGATGTTTGGTCCTTAAGGTTAAAGGTTAATGTTAACTTTCTTTATTTGCTTCAGCACCTTGTCTTGAAAGGCTTCCTACATTGCATTAACTGTGCATGGAACATTCATTTATCCATTCTGTCTTGATACAATTGCAAATTGGTTCACAGCAGCATTCCTCTGACACTCCCGCTTCCCATGTAGACTTGCTAAATTTAGATTGTTTAATTGAAAAAGTCACTGCAGTACATAAAATGTTTAAATGAACATTCCACTGCCCAAATGCAAAAACACCTCACTGTTTAGAACATATACCCCTAATGAAAACGTGTATGAATTTAATTATGCATTTCAGTTTTCTCTCTAATGGGGGTTTATCTAAAAACTACTTCCAAAAACTACAGATGTCTGGTCTAAGGCCTTTTGGAAGCCATGGAATTTCTGTGGCTGTCCAATTAAACACTTCCCAATGCATTTCAAAGAGCAGTATTTACAAGGCAACTTGCCCCAGGACACATTTGAAACTTTCACTGGATGTGCAGGGTTTCAAACTGAAACACTACAAACTCCTACCAGCAAGACAACTTCAATAAGCAGTGGTTATTGTGGTTGGAGTAACCCTTTTAGCGCTTCAATTCTACTTGCTGCAAGCATTTGTTTGCTGCTGCGAATGTTATATGTGCAGGAAAAACAAATCTGTGTGGATCTGGTAATGGTGTGTCCCAAGGTGTCTACGTGTGCAAAAGTACATGTCTATCCAACAGGATTGATCTCCAAACCATTTCCACCTCTTGGTCTGGTCACTTTTGATACAGGATTTATCCTTGATGTGTATTTGTGTTTTAAGCAGATTCATTCTTGTTTACATTGTCTAATAGGAGCAAGAGAATAGAATCAAAGAGTTGGAAATTGCACTTGGTCAAAGAAAATATTCAGGAGGAGATGATGCAAGCAAAGGTATGTAGTAATGTGGGCATTTATGTCTGTATTTGGTTTGAATCTTTAGTTTTGAGTTCATTAGAGATCGGGCCATAATATTCCTTCTATTATATGTTGAAAGCATACAGGCAGGGCCTTAGTCATATCGTTTGTTTAACATTTGCCTAATCAGCACTTCTCTACATGATGATCATAGAATTAATTATCTAAACCTGCTTCACACTTAAACCTTACTGGCTTCTGTATAAAAAAAAAGAAATTAGGATTGGCAAGGCCACAATTCTGACTTGACCACACAAAATAGAAAGATAAAAATGCTAGCCATGCATGTTCTGTCCTTATTCATGATTTTCCTCAAAGCAGCATTCTGAGCACATTCCTCAGCGCGGCCACTCTGTGAAGCACCATGAGGGTGGTGTACGTGGCTGATATCTATACATGAACACCTCTGCTCTTCCCCGTCAAATAGTGCCACCCGGGTGTGACTCGCGAGGACAATGAGTACACATGGATGGATTTGGACCAGGAAGGAGAACAAGTAGTGAACTGAATAAAACATATATCTATATGTGAGCTGAGTCAACTGCCTTGCGCAATCTCACAGCTCGCAGACACCAAAGGCTGACCCTGTAGGTGCACCCTTCCTCCCCTCTTTCGTTGGTACATCACTGCAAATACAAAATACTACAACTCAATGAGAACAAATGATATGCAAGCTTGTCAAGGAAGCACATCGGGGACAGAGCCAGCACTAGCCAAACGAAAGTTCAGTGTCTGCATGCAGCGTAAACACCTCTAGTATCCATGTGAGGAGTGGCTAGTGAAGTTATCACTAGGCTGTAATGTAAACACTGCATTTTCTCTGAAAAGACCGTGTTTACAGCAAAAAGCCTGAAGGGAATCACTGTACTCACCAGAACAAATACAATAAGCTGTAGTTGTTCTGGTGACTATAGTGTCCCTTTAATTACTACATTTAGGCGACTTAAAGAAGAGCTGTAATCTGATGAACCACAAAATGGAGGCTATAGTAACTAAGTTAGTAATGCGGTAACATACAAAGTGAACTAGTAAGGATATGCTATGTTACAAATGCATAGAAACAAAAGAATCACATTGCTCAGAATATAAACTGGCAGGGCAGGATAAGGAATAATTAGACCATGCTATCTAGGAGCAAATGCATATGAAGACCGGTACCAGTGCACTGCTTCAGTTATAACAGGATGTAGAACAGCATGGTCTCTGCAAGGGTCAGTTGTATTTATGAAGAATAGAATCATAAGCAAAGGAGTAAAAACACAGGAAAGCACCACTAAGGGTTTCCATAACTGGCTTAACTGGAGCCAGAGCAATGTTCACTGAGAAAGCACATCAACTTTTTTTGGTGTAATCTGACACTTCAATATGGATTACAAATGCCTAGTTGGTCTATAAAACCATATTGCATGACCGTCTCCTGCACCAACAATACTGATATGCTTTTATTCTCTTTAAAACTGTTTTTAGTAGGAAATGTTGCCAAACTCCTGGTGTGCAACCAGCTATGTTTTACCCTATTTATTACTTCTAGAACTCAATGTAATGTCACAGACCCTGGAAATTGTAACAAAGAGATGCCAAGAGAAAGATCAGGTAAAAAGATCAAATGTGTGAAGCCAACTACTGTGTGAAAGGGAGTGTCCTAATTGTATATTTCCTTTTTTATTTTTATTTTTTTTTCTTCTGATTGAAAGTGTTGAGAAATAGACGTTTGTTTTTGGCCATTTATTCTATGCATGCTCTATATAATATGGAATATTTTATTCATACTTTCCTTTGGGGCTCACATTAGTGGACACAGCTGCCATCTTGCTTAATTTTCAGTGGCCTAATCTTCTGTACTCTGGAAAGGTTGTCCTTGCTAGTGTGGCTTCCTCCATACTGTTATACAGCTGCATGTCCCCATATACACTTAGTGGTAGATCTCCTGTGCAGCACTTTCTGGTTTCAGACCAAATACAGGTGTATGAAGAAAACACCTTAGACCTAGTCATGGGCGTCCGCAGGAATTTTTCTGGGGGGGTGAGGGGGCATAATTGTAATGACATCCATGCTTGGTACCTTTTTGACAGTGTCATGAAAGGGAAGGGGCATAGCCATTATCACATAAAGCCAGGGTGAATAGCATTTTCACAACTATGGTGTCAGGAATATGTTTGTATTCCTGACACTATAGTGTTCCTTTAAGCAAATTAAAGGACCATTCTGGTCACCATAACAACTTCACCTAAATGAAAATGCTATGATGCCAGGAAGCCCCTTGGTGCTCGCTTTCCTTTAAGGGGTTAAATCGCTCTCAAATGGCTTAACCCCAAAGGCTTCCTCCAGCTGCAGGGCGCTCAGTGGTATTCGGCTTCTGAAACAGTGTCAGGAAGTGCAGATTGACGTCAGGCATGGTGCCGCTGATTGGTTAGAGTGGACAGTTGACGCTCTAAGCCAATCGCTAGTTCCCGGTTCATAAAATATTTTTACTTTTTTATGAATGGGGAGCTACTGATTGGCTTAGAGTGCCAGCTGACCGCTCTAGCCAATCAGCAACACCCCTACCCAACGGCACTCTGTGCTTCCTGACACTCAGTAAATAAAAGTGAACACATTAACACCGATATTTTTTTACCTTTGGAGATGAGAAGGTCCAGCGTTTCCCTGCCAGGCCCAGGTACCAAAGCCTTATGATGTGGTGTCCAGAATAAAGTGGAGGGTTCACTTAATTTGTCCTTCCTGCTCCAATCTCCTTTTCCTCTCCTTCATTTGACAGTCTTCTTTTTCTTCTGACACTGTTTTCTATCCTTGGCTCCTTCTGCTCCTTTACCTTTCTGCTACTTTCTGCTTATTTTGCGCCCTTGTGCTCCTTTCTCATTCTGATCCCTTTCTGCTCCTTTTTCTACTTTGAACAATAAGAAAGGAAAAGTGAATGGCGCTTACACAATAGAAAGCGCACAAAGGTAGTGGTGGAATAAAAAGTGTTCCCCAACACCTTAGATACAAAGTATGAAATAAAAGATATATTGACACTGAATATACAAATGCCAAAAAAAGTCCACACACCACTCTTAACCCCAAAAGGTAAGTGTATATAATACTTGTAAATACAGAGGTATATGCTGATGGTATTCCGTATAATTGGACCCCACAATAACACAAAACAGTACATAGCGTAGACTGTATATGATAACAATAATGGAAATAATAAATGGATCCACTCACGAATTTCAGAGCCGTGCCAGGCTCTGTGCAAAATGCCCAAGGGTGCCTATACAGGCTAGGTGTGGAATCTTCACAGTATCCCTCAGATAGGAGAAGCAGCAAAAATGATGAAAAGGTAAATACATTTATTGCATAAAAATATAAACTAAACAAGTTGTATAAAATAGTGCAAGAAGTAATATTGTTAATGCAGACTTGTTTCAACTCACTCTTCCTCAGTGCATAAAGGATTCATCTAGCTGCTATTCTCTTTAAATATGCCGCTTGTCTGGCTGCCGATCACATGGGCGGAAGTTCGGCTTGCCGGCGTCTGACGTCACTTCCAGTTTTTCGGCGCTCATTTTCTCGGCTTTACTCTTCACAGGTAGTTTGCCCAGTTGAAGCATCAGCTTCCATTATGTGTATGGGCAACTATGGGAAACTTATAAACGTCATGTGTATATAAATGTAAACATTAAAAAGTACATAAAGATTATACAGTAAAATCTTTATGTACTTTTTAATGTTTACATTTATATATTGCAGTTAATTTTCAATCACACAAAAAATAGCAGAACAAGCTGAAAAATCCACGCGGACGCCCATGGATCTTGTGTATAGTCAGGGGAATACAGATGAACCTGGTCACTGATTGTGGTTATCCTCTGTTGCTAACTGGTGAATTTAAAGTGTCCAATGTGGCTTTAAAGTTGGATTATTTAGTGTTTCTGATGCTTATTTTCTGCCGCATGGATCCAGCATAATTCTGTTCATTATTACAGTAACTAACTGTAACTCTCCTGACCGTTGTGGTGCTAGTGCTCCAATGGACAGTTTTTAAAGCGTAGAGGGGCTGACTTGCGTTTCATGTTGTTCAGCTGTGATTAGTAAAGTGTAAAACTATAAAATGTACAGAATCTAAATGTTTCAGCTTGGTTTTTGATGCATCCTTTCAAATATCACTGTACCTTTTTATGGGATCTGTTTAAAAAGGGCACAAAGTAGGCAAAGTTAATCCTGTACCGCACAGTTTATATCTGCATATGAATTCTATATTTCACTTGTGGGACCCTTTAGTTCAGTTTGGGGAGTTAGTCTGGATGACTCGATAATGGCCACTGACTGTAGATTTGAACCGGTATCTGTACCGTTAAATATTCAATTTTGTGACGTCTACTAACACTTTGTGGCAGGTCATTTCAAACCTGCAGGCCCAGTTAGAGAATATTAAAGATGAAGCTGCCTTGAATGCCGTACGATTGAATGAAGAGAACCAAATGTTGAAACAGCAACTGAAATTTAAGGTATGAGAATATTCTATGCTCCTGTACAAAGCAAGTTTCACATCCTCTCTAAACTCCTCGCTTAATCCTGGAGCGTATTATCCACTTTACTCTGTCACCTTTGAAAACAGTCAGATCACTTTAGTGATTTGATTTTAGTAAGTACAAAATAAAAAAATCTTACGTTATACTAATTACTCCTGCATATTTTGAAGAGAACAATATGCTCATAATGCATGCTGATCTTCATATGCGACTATACACTATATCCTGTAAAATACTAGATCACTTATTATAAATTACCAAAGTTTCTACAGTGTGCTTTAAACTATGGAGAACCTGTGGGTTTATTCTTTAGAGGGAATTGTGTAGAATCTGTAAATGAATGGCAAGGTTTATGCCAGGTTAGCTGACCTGCATACTTTAAATTTACTTTTTTCCAGTGCCCTTGTCTGCTGTCTATTGAATAAAAAATCCATATAACCTCTGCATTTGTTCAGAGTTTGACATTGAACTGAAAATTAGCAGTCATTCTTCTAGTAATCAAAGTGTTTATACTATGATTGAACACATCCTAAATGCAAGGCTTGTTTAAAATGAAAGGTTTTTTGTTTTTCAGGAGCAAGAAGTTAAAGGACTTCAGAGTCTGGCAGAACGGGCAATTCAGCTAGAGGCTTCCGTAACTGAACTACGGGCAGAGCTTGATGAATGTCGGAAAACTTTCTCCCCAATTGACCTTGCTGAACCAAAACCTAAAAAAGGCTTGTTTTCCAATCTTCGAAACACCATGTCTGGCACCCCGAAAAAGAGCAGCAAATCAGCTGATAAAGTGGAGGACAGTGCATACATGCTCAGGAAAAAAACATTGTCTCGTAAATAAGGGAAAAATACCTTGGATCTGTGTGTATTTTCCTTCAAGAGCATTATATTTAAATTTTTCTACAAAATTATCGAGGCATCTTTGAGTGTAACATTTTGTGTTAATGTATTTTAATGTTTTATTCTGTCCATAATTTATGTATTTAAATAAAAATAAGACTTTATATATACGGGTTCTTCATCCCCCTTTTTATGTAAAGGTTTTTACTCCTTTTTTCAAGTGCCAAGATTCTCCTGGTGCTGCTCCTCTCGCTCTCCTCTATCTGCTACGACATTGATGGTCCAATCGAATGCTCCTTATAGGAGGAGGCTTTCCTATGAGTTTGTAAATCACCTGAGTTTTACTGTCGCTGCAGTGGAAGTGGCTGTAAGTATGACTGCTACTAGAGGTGTAGCAGTTTTAACCCAGGCTTCCTCCAAACTCCAGCCCTCCAGATGTTGCTGAACTACAACTCCGATGATTTTATGAATGAAATTGGCTGTGAATTGTGGGAGTTGTAGTATTCCAACAACATCTAGAGGGCTGGAGTTTTAGGAAGCCTGTTTTAATCCTTCAAGGTAAACCTTGTCCTCTTCTGCAAAATGGCAGTGTTTTTTTTTTATTATTTTATTTATTTATTTATTTATTTATTTTTTTTAACCTCTAAGGGTTAAAATGCCTGGAATACTGCACCCTGACCACTTCGTTAATATGAAGTAGTCAGTGACTTTCGTGGTCCTTTTAATATTCTTTTAATCTACTACAGAAATGTTGAAATTATTTCTGGGTTTTTTTTCCCCCTCAAGTTTAAATTAAATGGTTATACAATTATTATTATTATTTTTTTTAAATAAATACAAAATGGTCTGTATTAATGTGAACCTGTTACTCAATGTTTAACATAGAACTGCAAAAAAGGCTACATTTGTAACTTGTCATGAAGGAAACTGGCATGTCTGCTGGAGTAAGAGGCAGCAGGTAAACAATCACAGCTCCCAAAGCCTATAGTGTTCTTCCTGGAGGGGTTCTGTGCAACACGCATGACCCACTGCCATCCATTTTCTGTCCCTGCTTGAGGACACTTCCTCAATCACTACAAAAAAAAGCACTCTTCACTGCCAGCATATCTGCATGAAGTTGTCCTATACTTTCCCTGCAAGTGTGAAAAATGCTTGCTGGGGGAGTAACCCATACAGGAAGTAAAACTGCCTGTCGGAAAAATCTTTCTGTGCCATCGACATACAGGTCTAAAGCTGAGGGTTGATGGACAAACTGGGAAGGACCTTCTGTTATCTACCTAGAATTTGAAATTCACTTACAATTTTTCTAGTTCGGCTGTCTTTATTAAAGTGAGAATTGAAAGTCCTCTGATTTCGGTTTGGCTACTTTTCCTTTGAATTTGAAATTTTACTTTGAAGATATAGAGGGTTGAGTAAAGTGAGATTTCAAAGAACCACTCCCATTTTAATTCCACTTTATAGAAGTGCAGATTTCTATGAGAAAGACAGCCAGGAAGGAGGAACGTTATTTAATTATAAAATTTCAAGACAGCCAGAGAGGTGTTGTCATTACTTAATTACTTCACTGAGCTAAAGGAAGTAGCAGGCATGCTCTATTTGAGTGGAACTTTCCCCCCCCCCGTTTCTATTAAGCTTCACATTGGACCAGCATTCTTCCTGAAAGTTGTTACAGCGGTCAAGGAGGGACGGATACAGAGACATTTTCCCTGGGAAGAGACTGAAAGTCATAAGAGCTTTTGCAAGATTTTAAGATCAACCTCCCAATGACAACATGCAGCAAAAAAGCAAGTGTGTTTTCATTTGTGGGTATGCACATTTATAATTTGAGTGAAGTGTTCCTTTAAAATGCATCAAATTGAAATCTTTAGATTCATTGGCATAATGCATAAATTTTTTATTTTAATGATCTTTAACTTAAGCCCAAACTGTGGTGTACTCGCTAAGGTAAACTTTAAATTCTTATAAATCATGTCTTCTAGAAATAACCAGTATTCTCTAAAAAGACGAAAAAGTATAACCAGTAACCCTATTATAACTTATCATATTAAAGGGACACTCCAGGCACCCAGACTACTTCTGCCCATTGGAGTGGTCTGGGTGCCAACTCCCACTACCTTTAACCCTGCAAGTGTAATTATTGCAGTTTTTTTTATAAACGGCAATAGTTACCTTGCAGGGTTAACTCCACCTCTAGTGGCTGTCAACTAGACAGCCACTAGAGGACACTTCCTGGATTATAGCACAGAAAACCTGTGCTTGAGCGTTGCTGGATGTCTTCACGCTGTGTGAGGACCTCCAGCGTCGCTCAATTCCCCATAGGAAAGCATTGAAAATAACTGCTTTCCTATGGGAAACTCTAATGCGCATGCGCGGCATTGCCACACGTGTGCATTAGGTCTCCCCGGCCAGTGGGCGGGATCAGTCTCTCCCACCGGCCGACGTAATGTGGAGGAGGTAGAAGCAGCGATGTGGGACATGTTGCTGCCTCTGGTAAGTCACTGAAGGGGTTTTTACCCCTTCAGCGATTGGGGGGGTGGGAGGGAGAGGGGACCTGCAGTGATTGTTTTCCTGGCACTGGAGTTTCCCTTTAATGACTTCTTTGTAGTTCACATTTGGTTAACACAATGGCATTTCCAATAATGGCAAAACGGCAAACTTACCCAGGAGCTTCTAAATAAAAAATAGTTTTAGAAAATAAAATATTTGTATAAAAAAACCACTTGAAAGCTTTTACAATACTAGTGATGTATTACAGTTACACAAATTTAAAACTAGTAAACAACCATGTTCAGTGTTGGTCTTATCCTATAAATATGCCATCCAGCAAGCATTCATTTCCAGCAAGTCCATTTGAAGTTTCTGGTTTGTTAAACAATCAAATGATTTAATACGTGTAAATTCTATAGAAACAAATGCATAATCCCTCTATGCTGCAGTTATTATAGCTTCCTTTAGGTGGCAGCATAAAACAATGCAAAATTATACTAAATTTATTTAGTGGGGGTGAGAGATTACACATTTTTAATGTAGGAAGTAGTCTGAATTAAGATCTGACTTTCAATTAGTCAATAAAAATTTTATAATCTTTATTTGCGGTTTACCCTTACCTCAAATGTCCATAGGCACATTTTCCCCATTCCTTGGCTTTATTGCAGAGCCATCTGACCTTAATTTATCTCTCTCCCTTAACGTGATTTTAAAATGTATCCACCCCAGAGCTCTATCAGCTGTTCTACTGCTCTATGCAACAGGTAGCCTTCTGAAGGACAGTTTGTGCACTGCAACATCCGTAACTTGCTCCTTAATCTGGATGTACTACAAGCCTGGTGTTCCTATTACAAAACAAAAATCATTGTGTTCTATGAATCGTGGTTAACAACTAAAATACCAGACTCCACCATTGCAATACAGGGTTATTCATGTTTTAGAAATGAGAGCAAAGAGGAGGTGGCACTGTTTATGTTGACAAGTTTATAAACTTTACTCCTTTAAAAAACTATAACTCCCCTTCTGGCACAATTGAGATCCCTTTTAGTATATAACCATCATTGTTGCTGGAATCTACCACCCACCTAGCTCTCCGGTGCACTTCCTTTCTGACATAGCCCAACTACTAAGTGAAACTGTAGCTCAAAACCAAAAAAGTGAACTGTTGGTTTTTGGAGATTTTAATATTGATTGGCTGAATCCTAAAAATAATAAATCACGTAGGCTGTTTAAGACTTTGCAGCTAACACAATTTCCTCCCCAACTCGCATTAATATTAAAAGCCAGAACCATACTTTGCTAGATTGGATTCTCTCCAGTTGTCCTGACAGAATACAGGAGGTGGGCGTTCTACCTAGCAGCTTCAGTGACCACTGTCTAGTGTACTGCATACGCAAAATAAAGACCACTCAATCCCCTCCCAAGATTATAATCACCAGGTCATTCAAGAAATGTAATATTGAATCCTTTTAAAATGATCTCAAGTACATGCCATGGCACGGATTAGGTCTAATCCCAGATCTAGACTCTGCTATTGCATTCTTTCAGTCTGAGCTCTTGCGTGTTTGGAATTTGCATGTCCCTCTGTGTAAAGTGCGAATAAAAGGGACACACCTGCTCTGGGTTACAGCTGACCTCATTCAAATGTACCAGCATACTGGCTCCATGAACGATCACTGTGCCTACAGATAATGGCAAAATGCACGCACAAAACAAAAGTGGCAGAGGCCCAATATTTCAGTGAAAATTTAAACAATAACATATCAAACCCAAGAAACCTTTAGAAAATCATAAGTGGCATACAAAGCCCCACAAACCACTCCCAACCCTCCACTGTCAAAATGGACAACCAAACACTTCAACTCCCCCTAGATGTAGCAAATGCCTTTTAATAATTATTTTGTTGGATGTGCTACCACCACGGTGGAATTTTATTTGTGTATTGTAATAAAGATATTTTGGTCACTTCCCTTGTGCCAACTCTCTCTTTTTATACACTTGATTTTTACCTTGCATTTTTTACTATCCTGTACTCCAAGAAATCCGAGGTGGGGATCATACCACCAATGCTGTTACCAAGGAGTAGTTAGCCTGCTCTTTGCTTGTGAGTACTATTGTAGTTACTTTATATAGTGTTGTTTTTATTCAGTGAGCACTATTGTAAATATGAGTTTAAGCATGCGTGGGATAGGCATAAGGCTATCCTAACTATAAGATAAGACTAGGGAGTAATGAAAGTATTTAGAAAATTGGGCAGACTAGATGGGCCGTATGGTTCTTATCTGCCGTCACATTCTATGTTTCTATGTTTATTTTTGAAGTTTTGCTGTAGCATATACAATCAAACATGCATTAGTAAGTCGGGAGACACGCAGGTCTCATGTACAGTAACATTTAGTTTAATATTTGACATTTACACAGTATTCCTTGAGACTTGTAGGCTTTATTATCCTCATGTGTATAAATTCCGTATCTCCTTTGTTCCTTTTCCTTCTCCTTCCCTCTCCTTCCCCT